GTGTGTGTGTGTAGTGGGGGAGGGTATGTGTGTGTGTATGGGGGGGAGGTGTGTGTATGTGTGTGTGGTGGGGGGGAGGGTGTGTGTATGTGTGTGTGGCGTAGTAGAGTAGAGTGTTTGCCACCACTCACACGCAACGCAGAGACTTACATCCGTTGTGCAGAGGATTGCTATGTGTGTTGTGTGTGTTGGGTGTGTTGTGTGTGTTGGGTGTGTTGTGTGTGTTGTGTGTGTTATGTGAGTTATGCATGTTATATGTTGTGTAGTTCTGTCTGTGTTTGTGATGTCTTTCATATGTTGATGTAGTATCTGATAACCCTCGTACCTTTGCAGTGGGTTCGTATCTCCGTCGTAAGTGGATCTGATTTTGGATCTCCTTCGTAAGTTTGTGTGATTTAGTACTTCTTCTGTACATTTGTCATGTGCTTGGATCTTCTTCGTGAGTTTGTGTGATTGAGTATTTCTTCTGTACATTTGGCATGTGCTTGGATCTCCTTCGTAAGTTTGTGTGATTTAGTATTTCTTCTGATATTTGTCATGTGCTTGGATCTCCTTCGTAAGTTTGTGATTTAGTATTTCTTCTGTACATTTGTCATGTGCTTGGATCTCCTTCGTAAGTTTGTGTGATTTAGTATTTCTTCTGTACATTTGTCATGTGCTTGGATCTCCTTCGTGAGTTTGTGTGATTTAGAATTTCTTCTGTACATTTGTCATGTGCTTGCCCTTCATGATCTCATATTCACGGGAGCACTTTCGTATCGCAATGGCCTGTACAGTTTACGTCCTACCAAACCCGGAACCAACCTAACCGCACCACGCACCCACTGTCAATTTTAGGGCCCAAACGGACCTGTTCAAGTCGGTGGTGACCGTGTGCAGCAACGAAACCACAGTCATTCGCGAGGTGTTTGACAGTCCCAGTGTGGTAATGCATCGCTTCTTAGAGCGCATCTACGAGCAGAAGCTGCAGTCACACATTGATGAGTCACTGGAAGGTGTGGGTGTGGGTGTGGGTGTGGGTGTGGGTGTGGGTGTCTGCTGTTGTATGTGTGTGCGTGCAGAAGCTGCAGTCACACATTGATGAGTCACTGGAAGGTGTGGGTGTGGGTGTCTGCTGTTGTATGTGTATGCGTGCAGAAGTATGTCTGGTGGGTGGCGGGGGGGGGAGGCATGTGTCCTTGTACGGAAATGAATGGGTGAATGTATCTGGTGGGTGTTATGTGCCTTTGTAGGTAGTTGCGTGGGTAAGTTCCATTTTTAGCAAAAGGCGACATACGCACAGGAATATTTGCTCGCGCGCAAGAACGCAGAGTCGTTGTGGTCTAGCTGCTCACGGAAGGGCAAAGGCAATCAGATGCCACAGCCTGAGCCAGAGGAAGACAGCGCGCGTATATATATATATCACCCGAAATCTTTATATACTTATATGCACTCCAAAATTCACATCGAAGTATGCCGTCCCACAACAAAGCGTTGGGTAAGGACTTATGTCTCAGCACACATATCTGCAAAACTAGAGCTTCTGTATACACATTACATCAACACAACCACAGCTGCACGACTTCCTTCCCGATCACGTGTCTGTACCAAATCACACACATGCTCATACCAAACATTTTCGACTGACCACACACACAGCTGCCAAGCAACAGTCACTGCCAGTGTACCTCAAAGTACTAACAAAGCTACACACGAAGGCACTGAGTCTCAAAGAGGCCCTGCAGAGCATCGACATGTGCCAGGAGCCCACTCTGCTCACCAAGCTCACGGACAACCTCTTCTGTCTGCACCTGCCCGAAGGTTCGTTGGACAGGACCACACCCTGGGCAAATGTCCGGGCGCGGTTGTTTAGGGGTACATGGACGTGGTT